CATTAGATCTCCTATTAGGAACCTTAAGTTCTATTCACTTCATTCTTATTGAAGTCTATGATCACTACTTATCTATACTTAGTAAAGTTATAAGGATAACTTATTTGAAATTTCGAGAGTAACTTCACTGAATTTCTAAGAATAACTTATGATGATATTCTAATCTTAAATTGTGTATAGTTTGATCCTTAGTGTTTAGATCCTTGAATGTGATAATAAGTTGATAATCTAAACCTACTTGACAAGTGAACATTAGGGAGACAAATAAATAGAGCAACCTTAATTAACAAGTTAGTTTAGGGTTCATAACAGTGCGGTCGCCATCATAAAATCAGGCACATAATCTATTTTGGTAAGCTTGGAAATAGATTAGCACCATAAGCGGTACCTCACTTACCATGACTTATCCATCCTATTGTATAAAAATCAAATTCACTTAGCTAAGATGAATTTTATTATTCTCATTTAGCCATAAATAATAGTTTTGAAATTTTGTTCTGCTGATGGTAAGATGTCACACACAATATTGAAACAATGTGTAAGATAACATGATTATGTAACAAGAAAATAAATGTGAAAAATAAATAATACAAGTAGTTATTAACCTTGTTCAATATAAAGTCACCTACGTTAGGAGAGCATTAACCCAATGAAAAGAAATTCACTCTTAGTAGTCATCCGTACACATCGTTCTTATTTAAACTCACCAGTTTAGTTCTTTTTTTCCTAATATGTTTGATTTCTTCATATCCACAATATGCTAACAGACGCTGCTTATGTTTTGGGTGTGTTCATCCCTAGCCTTAAGTACCTCCTAATTAGATGGTATAAGTATTCTTCTAGGATTGTCTGGTGTCATGATAGAGTGTGACACTCAACAGAATCATGTCATGTAGTCGTCAACATCCATTGTACAGGAGCTGGCACCCATAGATACTCCTCTAATACTAAGTGACTCTCAAAATCCTCAAGTATTGCATTAAGATCTCTATGGCGGATGGTGGAAGGAGCAGACTCTGAGGAGTGTCTTGGAATAATTTGCAGACATCCAAGCTGGTGTGTCACTCACTCGGGTAGATACAGATACATCATACCTAACTCATATGTCAGCCATCCAGAGTATAACAAAATGAGGCCCAGTTGACGCGTCTGGCAGTGATTGTCGTATGGGCATAAGGTAATGTTTTCTGTTACGTGACGGTCAAGATACACTCGGAATGGCTTGATCGCATTATTCTCTATCTACGGTACAAAGGTAAAAACATGTGGTCAATCCTCAGTGTAGGTAGGCACAAGTTCCCAACCAGTGATGCGAGGAAAGTGGGAGGCGATCCATCCCTGAAAATGGTTCAGATAAAATATTAATAATAAGTGTAAAAACATAGTTATGAAAGCATTAGTAACAATAAATCATCGTAAACAGCGTGCAACTTCTTATCATCTGCTTTGTCTTCCAAAGACAACCATTGCCCAGCTTCGATTACTGGTAGACCAAACAGGCAGCCCCTCAGTTGTACTCGTGAATTATCGTCAAGTCGATGAAGTATCTAAGGTAAACCATATCGACGTAGGTTGCACTTTTGCCCCCAAATATGGACGAGTCAACTAAGAACAAGAGGTAACACCTCAATGTACACTATCGGTGATACTCAACCTGCATGTCATCAGCTTTGTAATCCATAGCCATATGCAGGTGGTTTTTATAGAGTTTTTCCAAAATTTTAAATCTAGCATGAGCACCTCTAGTGTCAACTACCTCATTTACGATCTTAGTTGGGTTGGCCTACAAATATGTAACCAACATCTCATTGGCTTTCTCTCAACTGGTTCTTCTATGGTCTAGTAATTTTCCTATAATGGGAAGATGCAGGAGGCCTGACCCGTCATCCAGAGTGATGGTTATCACCAATAAGAATGTGGAAAGATGACATCTCTGAATGTCATCTCTCTATAAATGTTGCTTGCCTGCCATTGTTTATGGTAATGTATGCAACATCACGTGAACCGGAAAAACCAAAGTAGTGGATAACATTTTTGAACTAGTCAGCTTTGTGTTGTTCCAAATCCAATATCTTTCTTTAGTGGCTTGCAAATTCTAAACATTGACGCTCTTATAAAAAAAATCACCATGAGTCACGATTAAATAAGTTTAAAAAAGATATATGTAATGCAAAGGTATAAATATACCTATCATTCCTTGACATGTCTAGCAGCATGGTCTCCATATAGATGAAGTAAGAAAGTGTCAAATGGGCCTCCTGGATAAGTCTCTACAAGGGCATCAATAGCATGTTACTCTCCCCCTTTAGGGGCTTCAAGTGCTTTATCATCTAGGGACATGTGGCCCCGTGAAGTAGAGGCCTGAGACAGGCAACTACAAGAAGTTAAATCAGGTGGTTGGAAACTTTGATGTTGTGAACCATCAAGCGAGTTATCATCGACTCGTGGCCTTGTGGTCCTGACAGCGGCCCTCTCACATCATACAGATGCGGTTAATGACATATGTGTGAGCCTAATTCTGTCAGGGTAGTTTTCATCCATTATACCTGCATTAAAACCAGAAAGTCACATCAAAAATTCAACCAAAATCCATCAAGGTACAAATTTGGAGATACATCTTCAAAAATAGTTCAGACATAATACAGAGATGCATCTCTGGAAGAAGTCACAATTTTCAGCCATGACATAACCCCATTGTTGTCCTAACCTCCAACCAAATGGCAATGCATGTCCATTTAGGATACTTATTTCGATTGCACTACTACCTAATGTAGCTTAAACTGTTTATGTTACCTAAAACATCATTCAAAATAAAAATTAAAAATTAACTTACCAAATCAAAGTTGTGAATGAGAAGCTTGAATGATGTGAGTAACTTTACAGCAAATGAAGTAGAATGAAATGAGTGAACTTGATGAAACTTTCTCAAATAGGGTTTGAAAATGGTTTGCAACAAAAGAGCTCAAATGGTATATTTTGAGTGACCTTTTAGAAAATGAAGGAGGGGGAGGGGAAGTTTTAGTGCAGGTTAATGTATAAAACGCGTTCGGAGATGCTTCTCTGTAACACTCACTGAATTTTGAATTAATGATGTTTATGGATATGTATATCTGGACTCACTCTTATGTTATACAGAGATACATCTGCAGATTAAATTTTACTAAATAAGAGTGGATCGTGCATTTATACTGAAGGGTGTGTAAAAAAAATAGTTATGACTTTTCACGGTGGTGGGAGAACACCTCTAAAAATGCAAAAAGTAACACTCTAATTATAAACTTGATCTAAGTGTAAGTTTTCAATTCAGTATTTTGTTTTGTCATCAAATCAAGGTGTTAAATCCAGAATCAATATAACTCCTCCCGCCTTCCAAAAACAAGTGTTATAATTGAAAATATATATTTACTATTAAATAATTGTCACTTTTAGTTTTCAATTACACGAGAATAAAATAAATGTAGAAGGATGTTGCGTTAGATGTGTTGTAAGAGTAAAAATGATAAGATTATAAATGAATATATTAGAGAGAGTGTTGGGGTAGCACCTATAATAAAGAAAATTGTGGAAAATATACTTAAATGGTTATGACATATAGAGAAAAGATTTGTAAATTTTGTAATAAAGAAAATAGATCAGATGGAGAGAAGTCAAATAATTAGATAAAGATTTTAAAAGACTATAAGAGAAGGAATTAAAAAAAATCTTAGGTTAATAATTTGGATAAAATCATGATTATGAATAGAACATTATAGAAAAACTTGATCTAAGTAATTGATTCCACTTTATAGGATAACACTTTTTGTTATATTTTTCAACTATATCTTTAAAATAATATTCTCAATTTATTATTCTCTCACTTTCACTTTAAAAGTAATTAATAAAATATTTATACAACTAAAGACAGAACTAAATTAATAAATGTGTGATTCAAACTTCATCATTAACTTTTGTTAACCATTTTGTTTCCCTCTTAACAAATGTGTCTATAAGATCTCGTGATTCAAACTTTATCATTATCTTTTGTTAAAAACATTTTGTTTCCCTTTAACCACGTCTTGTTTTAACCTCGTCTCATGTGCTTAAGTGACCGTTATTAATTTATTTAACAGAAAAATAGTAAATGAGTCCCTCCTAATCAGAATTCAAATCTTAGTGCATTTCATTAAAGCCTAACTCATTTCGATAAATTCAATTTCCGTTGATATTAAAACATTCTTTAAAGCACTCTTTTTAATATAACTTCTTTAATATTATTTTTAATATGAAAATATTCCGTGGATTACAACATTGTGAGTATAGATTCCCACCCAATAGAGATACTAACATAACTGGGTTGCACAAGAATTTATGCACTGCTGCTAGCAATCCTCTAGTGTATATTAGAGACATCTTTGGTATTATTATGAATGCTGCAAACATACAAAGATTATGATAAGCAAAAATATTTGCACATCATTCGAACGGGTGATTGATTCAACATGATATGAGAACCAAGAGAAATATTTCATCTTGTTTCATATACATAATTATTATTTTGTACTTCAAATACAAACTCAGCTAGGTAACATCTCAATCTGCTGTCTGTCAAGAATTTCAAAACATCTCAGAATTAGTTTACATTTAATTCAAGGGGTCTTTCTGATGGTGTGCTCTTTCTTCGCCTTCCACTTTCTCGTCTTTCTCCACTCAGAGTAAATTTCAATGACCAAGGGGATAAGCAAAACGTATAACATACACTCAGCTATTCAACAACTATCATAATGGTGCAATGACCAATCTCAGGTGTTCTGTGCTAGGTCTTAGGATTTTGTCGAGAGATAATTGCATCACTGTGACAGGTAATATCTGAACTCATAAAAGAAACGAGACAACATGGAAAACTTGAAATGTCAGCTTACCCCGATTCCCTGTTCTCGGGAGATTTTTGCCAACTAGCCTGTCCCTTGAACAATATTCAAGATAAGATAACCACCATCTTCGCAGGTATATGTTGTCAATGCTTACTTATTGGCTTTCCGAGCAAGAAATCGTTCTCTGGCAGCTTGGATTCTACTTTCATTATCATCTGCAGCAGCAGAAACTTCAACATTCTTCTTGGGCAAATCTGGAATCCTAGATTCTTCCTCAACATGATCCATACCACCACCACTACAAACAAAGGAATAAGAGTCAGCATTGATCCAACCCCCTTCCACCACCAAAAAAGAAGAGAAAAATATGACGTGCAGCATTAAACGTATAACATATATACCAAAGGAACATGTACTGTTTGGACGCAAGACTTATTCTGCCATATGTTTCATAAGTTTCTAATGCCAGAGAGTTTACCTTAATTTGTACACATTTAAGGTATTAAGCTTGTTAATGATGGGTATAACCCATTTCATCTCAACAGAACACACATTTCTCATGTACGGCCTAGGTGTGGCAATTAGCTCATGGTACACAACATAGTCAGGAAACTTCCCCAGTTCATCAGAACTCAATGCAGATGACGGATGCACCTGGTACAAAAGGTTCAAGTAATTAGGTGCCTACCAACAAAGCATTTAGTTGGAATTGATAAATACTCTCTCCATTCTCTTTTATAAGCAAATTTTGACTTCCTAGATTCATTTGGTATTACTTAATGAATCTAAAATGTTAAAATTTGCTTATAAATAGGAATGGAGGGAGTATTAGCTAATCGCTCCAAACTTTCACAATTTCACATCAAGCCTTCGCCTTTTGGTGATACAAGCCTTTTTTTTTTCTTTTTTTGAAGCACTTATGCAAGTTGTGTCACACCTACGATATGAGTTTTACATTACAATGCAAGTATCTATGGAAATCATTTGACTGAGATACTATATTAAAACAACATGAGGCAGAAGTACAGCTAAATGTAATGGTTCCATGCAATAAGTGACTTTAAAACTTTAATTACCTGGACTATTTGGCCTCGGAAACCTAGAGTTCGATAACCATTATGATGCATCTTTCTTTCAGCCAGCTGATTTGCATAGCCTACACATAAAGCCTTCCTCAAATTTCGATAATCTCGCCGGTACTCTTCCCCTTTCCGATTTTCCTTTATATCCAATGGTTCTGTAGCAATTTTAAGAAAATGTAAGTGAGTGGGAGAGGAACGACCATGTATGATAACTAGATGGAGGACTCAATAATTTGAATGGAAAAAATAAGAAAATAAATGATAAAAGAGAAAGCAATTTTCTCAGTCTAATTTTAAATTTTATTCCCTTTTTTGGATATTGTTAGCTCTAGCTTAGTCAAAAGATACACTCTTGCAACTTCCTGATAAAGCACGATGACTTGTACTGTTACGAGTTAAAACTGAATACCACTGGAAATTATTTGACCATGAGAGTATTAAACCATAATTCAAATACACAGAAAAATAACGAAGTTGTTCTCATGGTGGCAACGCTTTATCGTCAAATCATACAACTTAGTTGTATGAGAACCTTAGTGGTAGTGCATATTTGGGCAGAAGTGCATGTTTTATTATTATGCACTCATATCATTTGATTTGCAGCTGAAAATAAACCCTATACAGGGTATGACATGCTTGGCAAGTCTTATGTGAAATCAGAATTATCAACCTGCTCCTCTGGCTGTTAACTCTTATAACCCTCAGCAATGGCTTGCTTCTCCCTATGGCTACATTGGTACTCCTCAAAATGTCTGGACTAGACCTCCTACACAATCAAGAAGTCCTTCTACTTTTTCTCATGCTCCTAGTGCCTTGGTTGCCAATTCAGCACCATCCTCTTCAGGTTCATGGTTTCCTGATTCTGGTGCTTCCTTCCATGTCACCAATGAAGCCAGAAATCTGCAGCAGATAGCTCCCTTTGAAGGTCCTGATCAGATCTTCATGGAGAATGGTAAAGGTGTGCACATACAATCTTCTGGTTCAAGTGTTTTTCCTTCACCTCTTCAAGCTCACACACCACTCACACTTCACAATCTTTTACTTATTCCCATTATCACTAAGAATTTACTAAGTGTCAGTCAGTTTTGTAAAGATAACAATGTGCATTTCATCTTTACTGCTGACAAATGTCTTGTCCAATCACAGGTCTCCAAGGCTATTCTTCTTAAAGGCAGTGTTGGCAAGGATGGTCTCTGTTGATATTTGTAAATATATATAAAGTATTAAGAATATTTGTATATAGAATAGTCCCACATCGACTATATTATGTAATTAGTTGTAATCTATTTATATATAATAATGTCTCCGTAGTGCTTTTCAAAACACACGGTTTATTCAAATGTCTCTTAGTCTCTTGTATTTCAACATGGTATCTAGAGCCTACTAATAAGAGACAATTCTTTCTTCGCCGTATTTTACCCGGTTGACCTACTGTCTTTCGGTGAGAAAAAAATTTTTTTTTGGCAAACCGTGTTGTCACTCTGGTTTGCCTCTCACTTTTCAAAATTCTCCCGTAACCGTCTTGCCGCCGTTACAGTTCCGGCAAAACTTCCGACGACGTTTCGAAAAACCGATTTTGTCGCTGTCCTCCGATCCGGTCGTCGCCCTTTTTCCCGCTGCTGCCCCAGCGCGACCGGCGACTGATTCCGACCGTTTTTCTGCTGATCTACTCACCTCTCCTCACCCATTCTAGATCCGGCCTCTGTTTTACTTTCCGACTCACGGAAAACGGTGCTCCAGTGCAAGCAACCCTGATTTTTTGTCATTAAGCTATGGGAGACTCGTTTACTAAAGTTCCTCTTATCCCATGTGAAAAACTGACCGGATCAGCAAACTATAACATATGGGCACGTGCTGTCGATATGTGGTTTCGTGGTCAGGGATATGAAGATCACCTAACCACACAATTGACTAATGTTGCCTCCGACAAACTTGCTAAATGGAAGAAAACAGATGCCTCTCTCCTTACCGTGTTATGGTTCTCCATAGCACCTAACCTCCAAGCACAGTATCAAGCCTTCTCCAATTGCTATGAAGTTTGGGAAAAGGCCAAGAAAGTCTTCTCCAACGACGTTCATTGTCTATACAGTGTCATCCTCAAACTCGACACACTAAAGATGGAAAATATGGATATGCAAACCTATTTGAGTAACCTTGATGCTTTGAAAGCAAGTTACGCAACCCTCATGCCGTACGCAAAAGACGCAACAGCTCATGCCGAACAACAGAGTAAATTTTTCATGGTGATGGCACTTAAAGGACTACCATCCGAACTCGACTCCATTCGTAACCAGATTTTATCATGTACTACTGTTCCTAACTATGATGCAGTTAGTGAACAACTGTTGCGCTTGGCTACACCTCATGCGTTTGGTCCGGTTTCCCCTCCATCTCTTGTTGCTACACCAGGTGACACTGCTGCCCTCGCATCTCTGGGCAACAATCAGAGTCGCCCTCGAGGAGGGTCATCCAACTCCAAACCTCGTCCCAAGTGTAACCATTGTAACCGGCTTGGACATACTATCGACCGTTGTTGGAAGCTACATGGCAAACCCCCACGCCAGGTAAATGCAGCTCAAAGTGATAACTCAGAAACTATGCAGACTTCACCTTCTATTCAGAACCCTACGCCAAGCTACGAAGATTTTCTCAGATGGTGTCAGACTAATCAGATCTCTGGTTCCACTGCTTCGGTTGCACACACTGGTAATTCATCCGTTTGCTTCTCTCAATCATCTCCTCTTGGTCCTTGGGTCCTTGACTCTGGTGCGTCTGATCATGTTACTGGTAATAAAGGTCTTTTTTCTTCCCTCTCTACCTCTGGTTTCTTGCCTATTATAACTGCCGCAAATGGTTCTCAAACCCGATCCCAAGGGATTGGTACTGTTCAAATTTTACCGTCTCTCTCTGTTACTTCTGTCCTTTATGTACCTAATTGCCCATTTAATTTACTGTCAGTCAGTCGTTTAACTCGTTCCCTTAATTGTTCTATCACCTTTACTAATAGTAATGTTACTCTGCAGGATCAGAGTTCGGGACAGACGATTGGCGTCGGATGCGAGTCTCAAGGCCTGTACTACTTCTCTACGTCATCTACCACATGCTCCACCACAGATTCTCCACTCATTATACATGCGCAGTTAGGTCATCCAGGTCTTCCCAAGCTACAAAAGTTGGCGCCCAGTTTATCTAAATTATCCACTTTACATTGTGAGTCTTGTCAGTTAGGGAAACATACTCGTAGTCACTTTTCCGATCGAGTCAATAAACGGGTTGCGTCCCCTTTTGCTTTAGTTCACTCCGATGTTTGGGGTCCCTCACGTACCGTGTCTACTTTTGAGTCTAGGTATTTTGTAACCTTTATTGATGATTTTTCACGTTGCACATGGTTATTTTTAATGAAGAACAGGTCTGAATTGTTTTCTATTTTTGAACAATTTTATCGAGAAATAAGAACCTAATTTGGTTTATCTATTCGTACCCTAAGAAGTGACAATGCACGTGAATATTTATCCCAACAATTTCAAATATTTATGTCATCCAATGGTATTTTGCACCAAACATCTTGTCCTCATACACCCCAACAAAACAGGGTAGCCGAACGCAAAAATCGGCACCTCGTAGAAACCACTCGGACACTACTTCTCCATGGTAATGTTCCTCTCCGGTTTTGGGGAGATGCGGTGCTCACAGCATGTTACCTCATAAATCGCATGCCCTCATCTATCCTTAATAATAAAATCCCTCATTCAATCCTGTTTCCAAACTCTCCACTCCACCCAATTCCTCCTCGAGTCTTCGGGTCAACGTGTTTTGTACACAATCTCTCCCCTGGTCTTGATAAACTATCAGCTCGATCACTAAAGTGTGTCTTTCTTGGCTATCATCGATCCCAAAAAGGTTATCGTTGCTACTCACATACTCTACAACGATACCTCGTATCTGCCAATGTTACCTTCTTCGAGTCTGTTCCATATTTCGAATCCAGCCAAGTAACTACAGAACCTCTACGGGAAAGTATTCCCACACCTCTTCCGGAAGTCCCATCTGTCATTATCCCTCATCATTCTAGGGAACCTGACCCACTAGTTACCCCTACGGTTGACCCCCCTACTCCTCGCCCACTTCAAACATATCAGCGTCGTCACCCAAAGTCTGTCGTACCTGTCCCTGAAGTTGTACCAGTCCCTGAAGTCGTACCTGTCCCTGAAGTTGTACCTGTCCCTGAGGTCACTACGGACTCTCCTCCGACGCTCTCGCCATCACCGGATTCGATCCTGCAACCGGAGTCTGATCTTCCGATTGCCCTTCGAAAAGGTATACGTCAAACACGAAATCCTTCTCCACATTATATTGATTTATGTTATCATCGTCTTTCCCCTTTGCAGTATACTTGTTTGTCTTCGTTGTCTTCTGTTTCTATTCCTAAAACTCCAGGTGAAGCATTATCTCACCCTGAGTGGAGGCAAGCAATGATTGATGAAATGTGTGCTCTTCAAAGCAGTGGTACCTGGGAACTGGTTCCTCTACCCCATGGAAAATCTTTAGTAGGTTGCCGTTGGCTTTATACAGTGAAGGTTGGTCCAGATGGCAAGATTGATCGATTTAAAGCTCGCTTGGTAGTCAAAGGATACACTCAAATTTTTGGGTTGGATTATGGTGATACCTTTTTGCCTGTAGCCAAGATGGCATCTGTTAGACTTCTTCTAGCCATTGCAGCCATTCGACATTGGTCTCTTCATCAACTTGACATCAAAAATGCATTCTTACATGGCGATCTTGAAGAGGAAGTATATATGGAGCAACCACCTGGGTTTGTTGCTCAGGGAGAGTCATCGAATATGGTTTGTAGGCTACACAGGTCTCTTTATGGTCTTAAGCAATCTCTGAGAGCTTGGTTTGGCAGATTCAGCACTGTAGTACAACAGTTTGGTATGATCCGTAGTGAAGCTGACCATTCTGTTTTTTATCGTCACTCACCCCAAGGGTGTATTTATCTTATTGTGTATGTAGATGACATTGTCATAACTGGTAGTGATCAGCAGGGAATACTCCAGTTGAAACAACATCTCTCGAAACAATTTCAGACAAAAGATCTTGGTAAACTCCGTTATTTCTTGGGTATTGAAGTAGCCCAATCTAAAGAGGGTTTGGTGATTTCTCAGCGGAAATATGCTATGGATATTTTGGAAGAAACAGGTTTGTTAAATGCTAAACCAGTCGATACTCCTATGGATCCAAGTGTTAAACTACTACCCAATCAGGGGGAGCCTCTATCTGACTCAGGAAGGTATAGGAGATTGGTTGGAAAGTTGAATTATCTCACAGTCACTCGTCCGGACATTTCTTTTGCAGTCAGTGTGGTAAGGCAGTTCTTAAATTCCCCTTGTCAGGAACATATGGATGTTGTTATCCGGATTTTGAGATACATCAAATGTGCTCCAGGAAAAGGTCTTGTGTATGAGGATAAAAGACATACCCAGATAATTGGATACTCTGATGCTGATTGGGCAGGGTCACCCATTGATAGACGATCCACCTCTGGGTATTGTGTACTTGTTGGAGGAAACCTTATATCCTGGAAAAGTAAGAAACAAAATGTAGTTGCAAGATCAAGCGCCGAGGCAGAGTATAGGGCGATGGCAATGGCAACATGTGAACTTATTTGGTTAAAACAGTTGCTCAAGGAACTTCAAATTGAAGAAGCAAGACCAATGACACTTATTTGTGATAATCAAGCTGCATTGCACATTGTTTCAAATCCAGTCTTTCATGAGAGGACCAAACATATTGAGATAGACTGTCACTTTGTCAGAGAGAAGATCGAGTCAGGCGACATCGTCACAAGCTTTGTCAACTCTAATGATCAATTGGCAGATGTGTTTACAAAATCCTACGAAGCCCCAGAACTAACTATATATGTAACAAGCTTGGTGCATTTGACTTATATGCTCAAACTTGAGGGGGAGTGTTGATATTGTTAAGAAATGTGGTTGGGCCTAACTCAACCCTACAAAACCGGTTGGTAGAGTGAGGATTGCCCCCACTTATAAACACATGTTCATACCATATATTATCCGATGTGGGACTCTTAACACACCCCCTCACGCTCAGGACTGGACATCTGAAGCGTGGAAATAAATGGCGGGTGGCCCGATAGAGGAAACCATAGAAGGTGGCCCACCGGATCTTAAACGAGACTCTGATACCATGTTAAGAAATGTGGTTGGGCCTAACTCAACCCTACAAAACCGGTTGGTAGAGTGAGGATTGCCCCCACTTATAAACACATGTTCATACCATATATTATCCGATGTGGGACTCTTAACAGATATTTGTAAATATATATAAAGTGTTAAGAATATTTGTATATAGAATAGTCCCACATCGACTATATTATGTAATTAGTTGTAATCTATTTATATATAATAATGTCTCCGTAGTGCTTTTCAAAACACACGGTTTATTCAAATGTCTCTTAGTCTCTTGTATTTCAACAGTCTCTATGAGTTTCCCACCATCAACCTGTCTGGTTCTTCTATACTGCCCTCTCCTTTACCTAGTCTAAGCTTGAATAAGCAATCCAGTATTAATACAGCTTCTTTGATTCTAATGCACCAAATAAGTGGCATCTTAGATTAGGCCACCCTAATTCTCATGTATTGAAACTTGTTATGCAAGCTTGTAATGTTTCCTTCTCTAATAAAGAACTTGATGATTTCTGTTCAGCTTGTTGTATGGATAAAGCACACAAACTTCACTCACCTGATTCACACACTACATACACATCACCACTCGAACTTGTATTTAGTGATCTATGGGGTCCCTCCCCTTACTCTTCCACCTCTGGTTTCAAATATTATATGTCTTTTGTTGATGCATATTCCAAATTCACTTGGATTTATTTTCTCAAAACTAAAGCTGAAGCACTCTCTACATTTCAACAATTCAAGAGTTTAGTGGAACGTAAACTTGGACACCCCATTAAAGTTGTTCAATCTGATTGGGGTGATGAGTTTGGGCCTTTCTCTCAATATCTCAAAGATAATGGTATTGTTCATAGACTCATTTGTCCTCATACACACCATCAGAATGGTGTGGTGGAGAGGAAGCATAGGCATATAGTGGACATGGGACTTACCTTGTTAATCAAGCTTCACTCCCACTTAACTATTGGGACTATGCTTTCTCCACCTCTGTGTATCTCATCAATAGGCTTCCTTCCTCATCTATTAATTTTCAAATAAGAGTTTAGTGGAACTTAAACTTGGACACCCCATTAAAGCTGTTCAATCTGATTGGGGTGGTAAGTTTGGGCCTTTCTCTCAATATCTCAAAGATAATGGTATTGTTCATAGACTCATTTGTCCTCATACACACCATCAGAATGGTGTGGTGGAGAGGAAGCATAGGCATATAGTGGACATGGGACTTACCTTGCTAATCAAGCTTCACTCCCACTTTAACTATTGGGACTATGCTTTCTCCACCTCTGTGTATCTCATCAATAGGCTTCCTTCCTCATCTATTAATTTTCAAATTCCTTACTCCCTATTGTTTCATTCACAGCCCGATTACAATTTTTTAAAAGTCTTTGGATGTGCATGTTTCCCTCTCCTCAGGCCATACAATAGCCATAAGTTTGACTTTAGATCTCAAGAGTGTGTGTTTCGGGGCTATTCTTCCTCCCATAAAGGGTACAGGTGCCTTGCATCAACCGGTAGGATCTACATCTCCAAAGATGTTCTCTTTAATGAATTCAGGTTTCCATATCCTGAATTATTTCTCACCCCTAGCCCCTTTATCCCTCCAACCAAAAGTGTGTCTCTTTCACCTCTTCCTGTAATTTTTGACACTGCTACTTCTTCTGGACCTGCTAGTGTCACTGCTCACAGTACTACTTCTTCCTCCTCTATCACACCTAACCTGTCTCCTCAATTCACTGGCTTATCTACTAGTTCACAGACACCAAACCAGTCTCATGAGATTCATTCCCCTGGCTCCTCTCCTGGTTCTACTGCCATTGATTCAGGCCAGGCAAGTCCTACTTCTATCCACTCAGAGAGTTCTTCTTCTGCAACTCAGAGCAGCACTTCTAGAGCCTCCACTTCTCCTACTGCAAGTTCTGCTATTCCTCCTAGAGCAGTACCAGTTCCTCAGCCTCATAATTCCCATCAAATACAAACTAGAGCCAAGTCTGGCTTTGCCCAACCCAGACTGGAACCCAAACTTCTCTTGGTTACTACAGAACTAAGGAGTGTTAAGTCTGCTCTAGCTGATGTTAACTGGAAAGCAGCTATGCAAGAGGAATATAATGCCCTAACTAACAACAACACCTGGACCTTTGTTCCTCTCCCACCTCAAAGAAATGTGATTGGTTGCAAGTGGGTGTTTAGGATAAAGGAAAATCCAGATGGCACAGTAAACAGATATAAGGCCATGCTGGTGGCAAAGGGATTTCATCAAAGATATGAGTTTGACTTTACTGAGACTTTCTCTCCTGTGGTCAAACCTGTAACCATCAGACTTATCCTATCTATTGCTCTCACTCACAAGTGGTCAATTCAACAATTAGATGTAAATAATGTTTTTCTCAATGGCATTCTTCATGAAGAAGTTTATATGGAACAGCCTAAGGGTTTTGAAAGTGCTAATCCAGCCTTAGTATGCAGGCTTAACAAGACTCTCAATGGCTTAAAACAGGCCCCTAGTCAATGGTTTGATAGGCTGCGAACTACTCTCATCCAGCTTAAGTTTAGACCTAGCAAGTGTGATCCTTCCTTGTTCACTTAATTGTGTTGGGGGCCACACCATTTACATTTCATCTATGTGAATGATATCATCATCACAGGGGATTCTGCTTCTCGTATTCAAGCAATCATTTCCAAGTTGAATTCCATTTTCTCTCTAAAACAACTTGGTACTCTTGATTATTTCTTGGGCATTGAAGTGAAACAGACAGCTCAAGATTCTCTATTGCTTACTCAGTCAATATACATCAAGGATCTCCTGTTGAAGACCAACATGTTAGAGGCCTGCCCTGTTCAGACTCCCATGCAGTCTTCTTGCAAACTCACCAAAACAGGGTCTCCAGCTATGTCTGATCCTTCTCTCTACAGGTAAGTAGTTGGTGCCATGCAGTATGCCACCCTCACCAGGCCAGATATAGCCTATGCAGTCAACAAAGTGCGTCAGTTTATGTCTCATCATTTGAAGCCTCATTAGATAGCTGTTAAAAGGATTCTTAGGTACCTCAAAGGCACCATGGGTCATGGTCTCTTGATTTCTGCCTTATCTCCCTCTGTTCCACCCTCCCTGCAAGTCTATTGTGATGCAGACTGTACTGCTGATCCAGATGACAGAAGGAGTACATCAAGAGCTGCCATTTATTTTGGGAACAACCTTATCTCATGGTGATCCAGATGACAGAAGGAGTACATCAAGAGCTGCCATTTATTTTGGGAACAACCTTATCTCTTGATTCAATGAAACTCTCTTCCCTTTCTAATAAAAAAGCATGATCAAATGATATTTATTAATATACTTATCCAACCACAACTAATTTTTACAAATTACTTTTTGATGCATATTATCACACATCGAGCTCAATCTGCTAAAGGTAACGATTTCAAATTTATTCTATACAGCTTGTCCAAACCGCAACATATCTAACACAAGAACGATTCACAGCTATTTCACCCCGTGTTAATTCCACAGCTCAATTTAATTTTAAAGTTTGATTATTAAAAAGTAGAGAATTTCAATCTTTTACTCTAACTTTCTATTTTTTAAAACTAAAGAAAAGGATTTATAAAAGCATATGAATGTGCCAAAAATAATGGTTCTTTTTTCTACTAGCATTGCCACTGCATCTGAAAGCACATTCTTAATTTCGTAATGAAAATACTTCCAAGATGTAAATACAAACCTTTGGCAATTTTCTGCAGTATTTGTGATAACTGCTTACGAACATCTCTGGCAAATGTCATTCCCCGCACCTTCAATCAGTTGATTTCAGAATAATCACATTAATATTATGCATTGAACAAATACAAAGTATATGTGTGTTCTTGTGTGCGCATATCACTTAGTATTTTAGTATGGTGTGAAGAATAGAAATCTTAGGGAACTGTTAGTAGTAAATAAAAATGCAAGTACACATTATCATCCAAGAATAAAAATGGAATATGCCTTTCCTAATAACCCGTTAGATTTTTCCTTTAAAGGATATAATATCTGAATTGAGTGTGAATATAAGTATTCCACAAGGATATCACTACCCTTCTAACCTAGGTTATCAATATCAGGTAGCGGCAGGCCCCAAAACTAGAATAACAGAATAGGCTACAGCACATTGCAGAATGTGGGTCGCTAACTACAAGAGGTGCACCCCTGATGGCTCAGGTCCTAGCACCAAGGCAAGATGGCTGCAATGGTGGTTCAAATGGTCGTCGCAGGGATAGGATGCTGGTGCTATGTAGTCAATGGCAGATAGTAGGTAGCGGTAAGGCCACTATGTCGAAGTTTTGGAAAAAATATACAAGAAACCCTACACATAAAAGGTAAAATATAGAAGAATACACAACATTAAAGACATTTATAACTAATAACTAAAGTTCATTGATACCGATATTCAATTTAAATCCAATATAAAGCAAACAAGTTTTAGACTACAAGGCTTAAATAACTCCTCTAAGCATTTAAAATAAATACAGGGGACTCCTTTAAGGGAATCACTATCTCCAAAGTGAAGCGGGGAGATGAAGCTGCACGAGGTGAGGAATGGAGATGAAGCTGTATTGAAGAAGAAATGACAAGACAAGAGAGGACAGATCAAATTTATAGCTAATAATAGTTTGTTGCCGTTCAGAATTTTATGACAGAATGACCATGAAGTCCAAAAAAAACAGAGGAAACAGATCAAATTTAAGGGCAAAAATTGGCTATTTTAAGGTGAAATGACAATTCCAAAAAGTATACAGAGAATTTTACAAGAGTTTTAATGTAGTGGTAGCTTCATCCACTATTTGGCTGCCATTTGTGGAGATATAGCCACTACTCAAAACCACAATGCAATGAGGTTTCAGTAGCGCCTAGGACCCTAAACAACACTATACCTCAATGGCAGCCACTACTGACTAAACAGCTATAATGTCCTTTAAGGGTCTTCTGTTTGTCAATACAACTTCTATGGCCGCACCTCAAATATGTGACACCACAGGTGGAGAATAGTATCCACCAGCCACTCCGCACCACTATGCCACAACAACTGTCATATTTGACAACATACCTTCAGTCTAAATATTTTAACAAACTTCAATGCAAGAGTTCAGTCACAATTTTATACATTTGATCATTGAAATACCAGAATACATGATAATACCTACCTGCAAGCCATGGTCTTTGCACCAACCAATGTCATAATCAGTTTGATGCCAGCGCTCATATATCTGCAGTAATTGAATGTGGTCACCCAAGCCAAAGCCATCAGGAAGGTTAGATAATGGACGTTTCCTCTTTTTCTCAGTCTTGCTGCACATAAAAGGGGTTTAACCACTCAGTTCTGGAATGTGTTCTTCATTAGTCAATTTAATACATAAAACTACTAACAAAAGAAGTACTAGGGATGTATTTGCAATTTTAATTCATTTAGGAATTAAAGTGACAGCGCCCACACATTCAGGGGCTAAAATGGGCTATTTGCTCGTTTAGTTTGAAAATGCGAAGAACACTAAGATGACTCAACCTCTGCCCTGGTAGCAATGCAGTTTCAGTGGATAACATGGCAGCAACGGTCAAAGCCTCGGTTATGCAGCCATAATTGTTTGCTTCCATTAAAGTTCTTGACAGAGACGGTTCTAATGGAAGCTCTGCATGGAATTGAGAAAAACTCAGGGAACCAAGAAAAGTACTCATTCTTAAATTCCAATTAGGAAAATGAATGGAAAAGAAAAGAACAAGTTTTATGTTCAAACTGAGAATAACTTACATTGTCAAGTATGGCAGAAACACACTTGCATGAACATAATAATAATCGGGAAAAAATATACCAGTAAAGGCTATTATCAAAACTGACGGAAAGACAGGCATCACTGTGCCTGTAGGCTGTATGTCCTTTGTTTTCAGTTATGTTTTATTTCATATTGTACATATATTTGAATTTAATTTATATACATTTCCAGTATAAAAAAAGATTTATACGTGCACCCAATGATTGTCGTCACATCATTTAATGAATATGACAAGTCATGTGTTTTTAACTCGTTAAATAATATGGCAACATATCATTAGATTAATGTGTAAAACTGATTTACACCGACAGCGTATGACTTTGTTGTAAAATATTTCACTGATGGAATTAAAAGTTCTGCTTACAATGTTGCAACTACATGCTTTAAATAAGAGAGAATAGAAAACCTAATGGATTTTGACTAATGGACCTCATTGCTAATACTACTAATTACTATTTACAGTCTAATATTTACAACACTCCCCCTCAAGCTGGTGAATGGATATCTATCATTCCCAGCTTGCAAGTAAGTTGCCTGAATCTTTCTGTTGGTAAGCCTTTTGTTAACACATCTGCGAGCTACAAGGTTACAACACAGAAAAGTACAATAGCCTGACGTAGATCTTCTGTCACTCACTGAGCCGGCATAATCCGCATCAGTGTAAGTCTTCATAGCTAAATTCTCACCTCTTTTAAACAAAAGTCTTCTCCCTGGAGTTGCTTTAAGATATTGTAGAACGCGGTCTACAGCCTGCAAATGTCTCACCCTCGGATCATGCATGAATTGGCTCACCACACTGACTGCATATGCTAAATCTGGTCTAGTGTGTGCCAAGTAAATCAATTTTCCCACTAATCTCTGATATTGACCCTTGTCAACTTTGTCACTTTCCTCCTCAAAGCTTATCCTGTGATTTTGTTCAATGGGAACACTTGCAGGTTTGCATCCAAGTTTGTCAGTTTCCAGCAAAAGATCAAGTACATACTTCCTTTGAGAGATAAAGATGTCTTGCTTTGAGTAGGCTACCTCAATTCCCAAGAAATACTTGAGTTGTCCAAGGTCTTTCATCTCAAACTCTGCCGATAATTTCTATTTGAGCAAATGTCTCAGTCAAATCATCTCCTATAACAATAATATCATCAACATAAACAAGAAGTACAGTCAATTTTCCTTCCTGTGAATGTTTAAAAAATAAAGTGTGGTCTCCTTGACTTTGCTTATAGCCCAAACACACCATTGCCTTTGTGAATCTTCCAAACCATGCCCGATGGGACTGCTTTAGTCCATATAAGGCTTTCTTCAATTTACACACCTTGTTAGCTTCATTTGTTATGCCAACACCCGGTGGAATCTCCATATACACTTCTTCCTCTAAGTCTCCATGCAAGAATGCATTTTTAACATCAAACTGTTGCAATTCTCATCCACATGAAGCAGCAAGAGATAGTAAAATTCGAACAGTGTTCATTTTTGCCATTGGGGCAAATGTCTCCTCATAATCAATATCATATGTCTGAGTATAACCTTTTGCCACTAGTCTTGCCTTGTACCGATCAAGTGTGCCATCAGATTTATACTTTACAGTATAGATCCATCTGCATCCAACCAGCTTTTTGTCTCTTTGCCTTTCAATAATCTCCCAAGTACCATTTTTTTCAAGTGCTCACATTTCCTCATCCATAGCTTGGACCCAATTTCTATTTTGCAATGCTTCTTCAACTGATAATGGGATTTTCACAGAATCAACAACTGCAATAAAACTTTGATATTGTGTGGAAAAATGTTTAGTGGAGACATATTGAGAGATAGGGTGTCGATATACGGAGGGACAAGATCTTTTATCCTTCCTCAAAGCAATGGGTAAATCAACTGGATTAGTGTCACAAGTATCAGAAATAGAACAATCATCATTTGAGGAATCATTTTCAGTACTTACCTCCGATTCAGACGATTGAATTTGTTTCTGGAGAAGGTCAGATTTACTTCTTCTCTGATACACTAGAGTTGGTGCTGAAGGTGTTGATTCCTGTGGAACATAAGGCATTGAAGGACCAGGAACAATTACTGACTCAGATTCAGGTGTTGAACTAGGACTCAAACTCAAACTAGGTGACAACTCGGGTTCAAGAGAGGGAACACTGACAGGTGTTCTCGGGAGGCTAAGACCAAGGATCAGAAACTCGGACTCAGACTCTAAGTCACTCATGTTCTCCCCCTGAGACTGAGAATGAGTGAAATATGACACATTTTCATGAAAGGTGACATCTTTGGAGACAAAGAATTTCCGACTCGGAGGATGATAACATTTGTACCCTCTTTTATTGGGTGCATAACCCAGAAAGATACATCTGACAGCACGGGGATCCAACTTGTTGTGATATTGTTTGTGAACATGAACAAAAGCAATACAACCAAACACGCGAGACTCAAGATTATGTAAGATAGGAACAGAGGGAAAACGTGAGAGCATAAATTGAGCAGGACTAATATTACCTAACACTCGAGATGGGACCCGATTAATCAGATAGGCAGCAGTAAGAACTGCCTCCCCCCAATAAGAGGTGGGAACAGACATTTGAAAAAGGAGAGATCGAGCAACTTCAAGTAAATGACGATTTTTTCTTTCTGCGACACCGTTTTGTTGTGGGGTGTCAACACATGTGAGTTCATGAAGAATGCCATGTTTACTAGTGAAGTTGGAGAAGGTATGATTGACATATTCTTTACCATTGTCAGAACGAATTCTTTTTATACATTTCCCAAATTGTGTTTGTACCATATTATAAAATTGGATAAATATTTGTGGTACTTCGGATTTAGTATTCATCAAGAAAATCCAAGTTACCCGAGTACAATCATCAATAAATGAAACAAACCATTTTGCACCAAAAATATTAGAGGTAGGGGCAGGTCCCCAAACATCAGAATGAATCACATCAAAAGGTTCAGCACTTTTATTAAAACTGGAAGGAAAAGTTACAAGATTGTGTTTTGCCAACTGACAAACATCACACTTAAAAGACTCAACAGAATGGTTTAAGAACAATGACGGAAACATAGACTTAATTATATAAAATGGAGGGTGACCGAGACGCTTGTGTTGAAGCCAAATTTGTGAGGCTGAAGAGGAAGACTGAGACTGGAGACAGGAGGACAACACCTTTGGACGGTCATCAGAGAAGTAGTATAACCCTTCCTTTTCCTTAGCAATTCCAATCGTCTTCCCCGTGGTAAGGTCCTGAAAAACACAATGGGACGTAAAAAACATTACTTTACAATTTAGATCACGGGTAAGCTTATGGATGGAAATCAAATTGTGGGAAAGTGTGGGAACATGAAGCACAGATTGCAACTGAAATGGAGGTTGCAAGTCAATATTTCCAGTGCCAACAACACAAGCATGAGAGCCATCAGCAACAGTGATATAAGGAATACTCGAAGGTGTGGTATAAGAGCATAATAATGTGGAATCAAATGTCATATGATTAGTAGCACCAGAGTCAAGAATCCATGCATTCTTAGGGATATTACCACAAACAGTAAAAGATCGGGAACTCAAACTCTTACCAGTAACTGCTAGAGACCCAGAACCAGAAGGCTTACTCATGGAGTCAAGCATAGACTTCAACCGTTCCACGTCATTCTGACTGAAGGAGGAAAGATCAGTTCCCCCTTTTTCAAATCTTTCAGTATCATGGGCATGTGTGGCAACATGTGCCTGATGCTGGTGCATGTTGCGAGAACTACCTCCTCGGCTAAGAACATGTTCCCTCTCATGTAGTTTGAAACACCTATCCTTTGTATGCCCTGATCGGTTGCAATGCTCACAATAGAATTTGTCACGACCATTCTTAGATGATGATGATGGTGGTCCTTGTCTTGTTGTTTTGCTAGCTACTAGTGCTGACACATCCGGGGGCTGTTCATGAAGCATAGCTTGACGACGGGTCTCCTCACTACGAACAGTGTAAAAAACTTCATTAAGATCAGGAAATTTTTCCTTACCCAAAATCTGCACTCGAATAGGGTCAAATTCAGCATTAAGGCCTGCTAAGAAATCAAAGATCCTATCCCGCTCAACAACAGTATTCAAGGTGGCAGTATCCTTGTTGCACTCCATCTTCAAATTCTGATATTGATCCAACTCAATCCAAAAACCATTGCGAACTCCAAAGTAATCGTTGACCAAAAGACTTCCCTGCTTAGTGTTGAAGATTTTCCTCTTTAAATCATAACAAGCAGACATATCTTGTTTCATGGAATAACTTCGACGAAGATAATCCCAAATTGCCTTTGCACTTGAGAGATACATGCAATTTCTACTAATTTCTGGAGATATGGAGTTCCAAAGCCAAGTAATAATAGCAGAATCATCTTTATCCCAGGAAGGGAAATTAGGGGCAGTAACCAGAGGAGGATTGCCTTCAATATGATCTAGCATGTCACAACATTTTAGAGTGTGTTTGATGAACTGAGACCAATAAAAATAATTTTTTCCGGTAAGCCAGTAACCTTTTTGAACGACAAAATCCTTAGCATTAAATGGGACTGGTGGATTTGTGGGAGGTGGAGGCGGAGGTGGCTGTTCGTTAATAATCTCGGCCATTGAAGGGACAATCGAGAGGAACAAACAACAGATATGTATTGAATCACAAAGAAAAAACACAAAATATCACAAAAAACAAGCAGTGTAGGGTTGCAAAGATGAGTGAACAGTGAGAGATGTGAAGCAAAGCCAAGAAATAGAATGTGCTGCAACACAGAACAGCAATGATCCAAACACCCAAAAAAAACAAACTGCAAGGATGACCGGCAGTGAAAGAAAGAAAAAAAAAAAAAAAAACTCCGTTACAACGGCGGCTAGGGTTTATGCGGAAGCGAGACCCCCAAAAAACAGGAGCTCTGAAACCATGTTGTAAAATATTTCACTGATGGAATTAAAAGTTCTGCTTACAATGTTGCAACTACATGCTTTAAATAAGAGAGAATAGAAAACCTAATGGGTTTTGACTAATGGACCTCATTACTAATACTACTAATTACTATTTACAGTCTAATATTTACAACAGACTTAACTCTAAATTTTATTATGTTTTATTGTGTAAATTTTGTTTTTTTGTTTAATTTGCTTGTTTCAATTTCATAAAATCTATGTTATATGACTTATCTAAATTTCAATATTTATGTTATTTGTTTTTAAATTTAAATTTGGAAAAGAATAGAGTTGTTAAGGAAAAGTTTATAGATGAAAGAGTTAGCTCAATTTGCAAAATCACTAATCATTTAAGTACCCAAATTTACACCATGAGTTCTCAACCAAAACTAGAAATTCCAATGAGCTAATTGAAGGCTTTTGAGTCTAAATTGTGATGAACTATAACAAATGTCAATGTGACTTGTGTGGAAACCACAATGACCAAAATAGTCAACATATATCCATAATCCGGACAAAATTGGCAGTTACTTTTGGGATTCCCTCTAATTATGTATAGATTTAGATTTGAATTTATATTTGGAAAAGAATTGGTTTTGTTAAGGAAAAATGTCTATATAAAAAAGGTCTAACCAAAATTGGTACTTACTAATAGTTATTATTGAAGTTTCCTTTATAGTTTATATGATATGATGGTATAGATGATGAAAACAACAACGTTACACTATTCATGATTTCACCACCACAATATTTAAAATTCAACACTAAAATATAAAGAAACAGTACCAGCCATTTTTCGTCCAATACTTGTAATTGCACCATTTTCATCAATAGCATCAATCAGATATAATTGCTTCAAGGCATCTTGTAAGGACTCAGCTGCAGAAAACATGGTTACACAATCACCAAATTATACTTGAGATAAACCTATTAAAATGTCAAGAATGAGGAACGTTAAAAAGCACAAGAATAAATCACATAAATCAATATAAGCAAAGTACTTGCTTGCGCCCTACCTCAAAAAATAAAGAAAGAATGAATGAAAAGATGGAGGGGGAAAAGAGCCCAAAAAAATTGAAACTTCTAAGATAACATAAAAGTAACTTCACAGGATCAACAAGAATCAAGTTTTGTCACTTAAAACCGCAACGCAAGGAGCAAAGGTGTCAATTTAAATTTAAGCTATAAAAAAAGATCTTACATGAAGGAGAATCAAGAAAATCAAATTTGAGAATGTCAATATCAGGCAGGTCCAACGACTTCAAGTAAAGAACACTTCCGGCAAGAGAAGATCTCTGAATTTCAGGAACTGTAACATCTAAAAACTCATCATGGTAGAGTTGGGAAGGATATAGGCGGTAGCATTTCCCTGGTCGTGTTCGTCCAGCTCTGCCTGCCCGCTGATTAGCTTGCACTCTGCAATGTCAGGATACACTGGTTTTAAAGCTTATGAATTGATTATTCCAAAAAAAATTAAAACTATTGAGATAATTGTTAATGCAACAAGAATCCTTTTAAGTTTTAACCAATACTTATGACTCTTTTGTTTGAAGTAAGAAAAAATTACTCAAGTTCCATTCAGTCAGTAGTATTAACCACAATTGAATGAAAATAGAATTTCATATATGATTTGTTTGTTTTAAAGAAAAGGGAAAAAAAGTATTGTATCAGTGAATCTATGTTTCATGCCACGATAAAATATTACATATTCCTTACTTACTTGCTAATTTGAACAACCTCAAGAGAATACATCCTACTAGATGGATTGTACTGCCTTTGCTTTACATACCCAGAGTCAATAACATACCTAGTCATAAAATTTAAAAAAATATATATATCAGAAACTGTTTGTAGACAAATGATGTGCTTTATCTAAAAGTACAAAATAATTGTCATGATACAGCAAAACAAAACAAAACAAACATTCCAAATTACAAAGGGAAAATTCAAATGGCAAGAAGGACATGTTTGTTATTATTGCACCTCAAAATGTGAGATGATAAATCATGTCTTACTGTTTCCTCTTTGATCATCACAAAAAATGGCATCATACTTTGAAAACTGCATTGTTACACATCCTATTATTGCATGTGGTTTTTCAAATCAAGCCAAAAAGAAATATAATAGATCACTGGCTACAGTATATACAGAACACCTGTATTCTTGTTTTGCCAAATGGGTGTAACCCTAACCAATATTTACATAATTGATTCAATCATGTAACTTGTCCACACATGTTCAATAAATGGAGTTTGGGGATTCAGGTTTTACGAAACATTTTTAATCTCTTTTCTGGCTAAGAGCCTAAGACAAAATTAAACAGGCTACAGAAATAAGAAGCGTTGGCTATTTAGATTTACTAAAATAAGTAATATCAGCAACAAACAAAATCAATGATGTATAATAAGTTACATACATGATGATACATAACTAGTATTTATATATTAAGTTTAAATTGAAATTAATAATATTTAACTGAATATCGGTGCTCTTACACTACACCATCAACAGTCAAAGATGTTTCAGCAATATTTGTAGCAACAATAATTCGTCTGCAATTTGGAGGTGGAGGATTAAATACACGCACCTGTAAGATTATATAGAACATACATGAGTTTCAAATGCACATAAAAAAATCATGCATCAATTATCAAAAATTGTTTAATTTGTGTTTTTCCTAGATGCATTATATGTTTTCAAGAGTTCTTACAAAGATAATTGTTTTTTCTTATTATTGATAGAGCAACATGTGCTCTTAAATAGAATACAACGTAGTTAGAAAAGGAAATCCCTAATAAATATTCATCATTGCCCTCAGTCAATTCTATAATTAAGGGTCAATAGTTTCTATAAATACATACACACCTAATCAAATCCTTTAAACCTATTTAAATATAAAATATACAGCTAATTAACACATGTACAGCTGGTTCTAACACTCCCCCTCAAGTTGGAGAGTGGATGTTACCCATTCCCAACTTGCCGATAATAGATTGAAATGTAGAACCACTTAATCCTTTTGTAAGAACATTTGCCAGCTGATTTCCAGTTGATACAAATGGTATACATATTGTCCCACTATCCAATTTTTCCTTGATGAAATGTCTGTCTACTTCGACATGCTTCGTTCTATCATGTTGCACTGGATTATGTGCAATGTTTATTGCTGACTTGTTGTCACAATATAGTTTCATGGGTCCATTCCATTCAATCTTTAGGTCATGTAGAATTATTTTCAGCCATAGGAGTTCACAAAGACCTAAAGCCATAGCCCGAAATTCTGCTTCTGCACTTGACCTCGCAACAACATTTTGTTTTTTGCTCCTCCAACTCACTAAGTTTCCTCCAAGAAAAGTACAATATCCGGATGTGGATCTTCTGTCATCTACTGATCCAGCATAATCAGCATCTGTATAGGCTTCCAAAGTAATTCCTTGACCCTTTGTAAATAGAATTCCTTTTCCAGGAGTGCCCTTCAAGTATTGCAAAATTCGGTAAACAGCTCTAAGATGATTTTCTTTGGAATTATGCATGAATTGACTCACCACTCCCACTGCATAAGCTATGTCTGGCCTAGTGTGAGATAAATAGATTAACTTTCCAACTAACTTTTGATAGGATTCTCTGTCCACAGTTGCATCTTCAACAAATTCACCAAGTCTGTGATTTTGTTCAATTGGAGTTTCTACTGGTTTGCATCCCAATTTACCAGTTTCAGATAATAAATCCAGCACATACTTCTGTTGAGAGATGAAAATACCATGACGAGAGTGTGCCACCTCAAGGCCCAAAAAATATTTTAATCTGCCCAACTCTTTTACTTCAAACTCTTTTAGCAAACACACTTTTAGGCTATCCACTTCTGCTTGATGATTTCCTGTTACAATTATATCATCCACATAGACAATTAGTGCAGTAACTCCCCCTAAGGCTGAATGCTTAGTAAACAAAGTGTGATCTCCCTGACTTTGTTTATATCCCATATCTTTCATCACAGTGGTAAACCTACCAAACCAGGCCCTAACCTACCAAACCAGGCCCTAGGGGACTGTTTCAGTCCATAAAGGGCTTTCCTTAGCTTACAAACTTTGCCTTTCTCAAAGTTAAACCCAGGTGGGACCTCCATGTAAATTTCCTCTTCAAGGTTACCATGTAGGAAAGCATTCTTGACATCGAATTGCTGCATATTCCATCCATAGTTAGCTGCTAGAGATAACAAAATTCTGACAGTGCTCATTTTTGCGACGGGAGAGAAAGTCTCATGATAGTCAATCCCATATGTTTGTGTGTACCCCTTAGCTACTAGTCTTGCTTTATACCTTTCTAGTGTTCCATCGGACTTGTATTTAAGGGTGAATACCCATTTACAACCAACAAGTTTTTTTTCATTAGGAAGCTCTACTAAATTCCAAGTTCCATTTTTCTCTAGTGCATCCATTTCGACTTTCATAGCTTCTCTCCACTCTTTGCTATCTAGTGCTTCGGTAACCGTTTTTGGGATAGAGGTAGTGTTTAAATGAGCAAGAAAACTTCTATGATTGTTGGACAAATTATCATAGGATATAAAGTGAGACAATGGATATCTTGGCCTTTTTGTACATGCTCTAACATCCTTCCTTATTGCAATTGGAAGATCTCTAGCATCCATGGATATATTCTGCTCCTCTAAATCAGTCCCATCAACTTCAGTTTCAGGGGCACAATTTGCTCCTCTAAAACTGTCTCATCAATTACAGTTTCAGGAATTGGGTCAGATTCTAGGACTTGCACAGGTTGGATAATAGGTGTTGCCCTTCTTGTGTAAACTTGTAGTGGACGAGTAGCATTAGGAGTCTTGGGCATAAAAGAAAGGTCTTTGAACAAATCATCATTATCTTCGATGTATTCCTTCTCCCCCTGAAGATAAGGTTTGGAAAAAAAGGATTCGGTTTCGACAAAAGTGACATCAATAGACACAAAATTCTTTTTTGTTGTAGGTTGATAACACTTGTAACCTTTTTGGGTAGGGGAGTAACCAAGAAATATGCATTTAATAGCTCGAGGATCAAGTTTTCCTCGATGTGGAGAATGAACATGGACAAATGACACACACCCAAAGATCCTAGGAATTAGGTTGTTTGAAGTTTTGAAATTTGGGTAGAATTTGGAAAGGAGCTGAATGGGGCTGTTATTCTGAAGAATTTGAGAGGGTAAGCGGTTAATCAAGTAGGTGGCAGTAAGGGCAGCCTCCCCCCAATATTGTTTTGGAACATTTGTGTGGAATAAAGATGCTCGGGTAACATTGAGAATATGCCCAATTTTTCTTTCAGCCACCCCATTTTGTTGTAGGGTGTGGACACATGATGATTCATGAATAATACCATGTTCAGTGAAAAAGGAAGACAATGTTTGATTAAAATAATCTTTGGCATTATCAGAACGAAACAGTTTGATGGTAGTCTCAAATTGGGTTTTTATCATTTGAAAAAACAATTTAAATATTTGAGTGACTTCACTTTTTTGTTTTAAGAGATACATCCATGACACTCTAGTACAATCATCAATAAAAATGACAAACCAACGGGCCCCAGATATATTTGGGACATTGGATGGCCCCCAAACATCACTATGGATTAAGGAAAAAGGAGTAGACATTCTTTTATTATTATTAGGAAAGCTAACACGTTTGTGTTTAGCGAGTTCACAATCATCACAATGAAAAGTTTCTAAGTTTATACCTTGAAACAAGGTGGGAAACATATTTTTGAGAGTGCTAAATGAAGGATGACCCAACCGGAAGTGACGTAACCAGATTTCTTTATTGAGGGAAGGAACAGATTCTGACAACAAAGACAGTGGAAGTTGACTCTTAATGCTACTTGTCTCACGTGTTTCCATAGAAGGTAAAGCCCATTGTCCTCTCTAGCAAGTCCAATCGTCTTCCCCGTTTCCTGATCCTGAAATTTGCAAAGTGTAGGAGTGAATGTTACTAAGTATTGTAAATCTGTCGTAAGTTTGTGAATAGATAATAGTTTGGCAGATAATTTGGGCACATGCAAGACATCTCTCAACATTAAATTTTGACTTAGTGGAATATCTCCCTTTCCTGCAACAGTAATAAAAGTGCCATCTGCAGTGACAATCTTTTTATTACTTGGACACGGTGTGTAAGAAATAAACTCAGTAGAGGAATGGGTCATGTGATTCGTAGCCCCAGAATCAACAATCCATGTCCCTTTTTCTGTAGATTGTATAACGCTAAGAGCATAGAGATGAGAACTACCTGATAATGCCATGGAAGAACTACCTGTGTTTGTGGGTTTGACTAAAGAGTCTAGTAGTTCCCTTAACTTTGTAATTTCTTCTGGATTGAAGTCAGCAGCAGCAGTAGGTTTAGAATGACTTTCCTCGACAGCACTTGATTGGACCAAGTGGGCATGTGCTGGTCCTCCTCGTTGAATGCCTTTGGTGTTCCAATTTCGATTCTGATTTGGCAGTTTTCCGTGAGGTTTCCAGCATCTGTCTTCGGTGTGCCTTGGCTTCTTGCAGAAGGTACACCATAGAGAATCCTTGTTATCCCCTCTTTCAATCTCTATTTTGGGAGCTCCTCCGGTTTGACCGTTCTTCCATTGGTCAATGTTCTCTCTCGACTTTGTGTTACTAAGGCTGAACTTTCATGTGATTGAGGCTCCATCATCACTCCTCTTCACGATTCTTCTGTTCAAAAGGCAGCCATGGTTTCATTTAGTGAAGGTAACTCTTTTCCGAGTACTTGAATCCTTATTGGATCAAACTCGTTGTTCAGACCTGTTAAGAACTTATAGATTCTATCCTTCTCCTTATAATTTTTTAGTAAAGTCGCATCTGCTGTGCATTTTGCCTCAAAATGCTCATAGTGATCCAACTCCAACCATAGATTTTGTAGAGTTTGGGCATACTCACTAATGGACCGATCTCCTTGCTTCGTAGTCGCAATCTTCATCTTAATTTCGTAAATTTGTGCAGCATCACCAACCTTGGAATAGTTTTCTTTACAGCTGTCCCACACCTCTTTGGCAGTCTTCATGAATATGCACACATCACTAATCTTAGGCACCATGGAATTCCATAGCCATGACATTACCACAGCATCTTCTTCATCCCATGCAGCAAATTTCTTGTCTGTAGCTACTGGAGTATCTTTTCCAGTAAGATGATTCAATTTGCCCTTCCCCTTTAAAAAGGTTTGGACAAAATGAGACCATTTGAGGTAGTTTTTACCATTGAGACGAAGGCTAGGTTGAACATTTTGCAGCTCAACGGAGCCAGTGTTTGGGGCAGGGGTATTAACTGGTTCAGACATTCTGAGTTTTGTTGGGGAAAAACGGCAATATAGACCGTAAAATAAAATTGGCAATGCAGGCCGCATAGCGGAAACAATGGCAATGCAGGCCACAATTTTAAACAGGCTCCTATGGATTTTGGAGCTCTGATACCATGACAAAGATAATTGTTTTTTCTTATTATTGATAGAGCAACATGTGCTCTTAAATAGAATACAACGTACTTAGAAAAGGAAATCCCTAATAAATATTCATCATTGCCCTCAGTCAATTCTATAATTAAGGGTCAATAGTTTCTATAAATACATACACACCTAATCAAATCCTTTAAACCTATTTAAATATAAAATATACAGATAATTAACACATGTACAGCTGGTTCTAACAAGTTCATTGCAAGCTAACATGATTTGACATATGATAATGAAGCAAACAAAGCAAGTAACAAGTCGAAATAGGAAAGACCTAGGATAAATCCTCTCAAGGAAGTTCAAAGAAAAATTATTTATTTATCCTAAGAAAAACCTTTTGCTAATGACGGATCAAGATCCTCTCCATTTCTTACTCTCTCCATTCTGTCCATTACCAATGTTATGGTAATATAAATACACTTATGTGCCACTTAATGAACCCACTTATTGAATATAAACTTCAAATCTCTTTAAAACTACAGTAATGGAGATAGAAAGATGGAGAGGATCCCAACTCGCTGATGACATGTGAAGGTATTTCACACCTGTCATTTTCCCCCAAATGTGTAACAGCACAGGATCTTTATTGGTTCCCAAGAGCTCTTAACAGACTACATGTTATAGCTAGTCGAGTTCATTATGGAGAAAAGTAAAAAAGAGAAGTAAGAATTATCCGTGGGAGTGAAATTATAATGCCTTTCCAGATATCATCAAAATACTGTTTCTTAGACATGCATCATTACATAAATTTATAGAAGATTGACACCTAGAAATAACAGATACAACATGAGAGACAAATACAAGTATACAACACAACAAAGAAATGAGGACACCGAAAATTTGAAAAATTACAGGACACGGCATAAATACTACATATAAAACTAATATAAAATAAATATAAAAATACAAATTTCAAAAAATTGAAATTCTGAAAATTAGAATGAGTCATTATAAACATAATAAAATATGAAACTTTATCAAATTATTGTGGTATTCCTGTTCATACTTTGTATTTGTATAACTATTTGAAAATAGAAGTAAAAAAATTATATAGAACAATTACAAGTGTCCATCATGGATACGACACAATAGAGTACTAATTCAAAGTAGCTATTATGTGCTTCCTTATTTCATTGATAAAAAATATTCTGTGCTTCCTTGATTGATTGTATTTGGAGGAATAACTAAATATTTCAATTATGAAATTGTACAAAAACAATAAACGACTTGCCTGCAATTCAGGTGGCAAAGAACCGTGTAGAGGAAAGATAATAGCATCCATGCAGGAACCTTCGTCGAGAGACCGAACTTCGTCTTCCAGCTTAGACACCAATTTCTCTATGTCATCCTGGATATAGCTCAACAAAATTTTATCAATCAGTACACCATAATCGTAACAAAAGGATTAAGATTTACAATATGGAGTAGAAGTTATCATAGTGTACATGTCTTAACCAAAAATGATCACCTGTCCAGTCATGAATATTAAAATATCCCCTTCCGGTTGCCGTACATGTATATCTGCAAAATTGATGCCTAGTGAAAAACTTGAAGAAAAAATTACAATTACAATTACAAATACAATACATATGACAGATGAAATGGAGTGTGTTGTAGTGCAAGCAGTGTTGTCGATGGCAGATGTGGCAAAATCCCTCCATAATTGAAAAACTACCAGCTACTCAATCAACAAAGGAGGTAGAGCAAATGAATGTGATTGTTTGCATTGTTGTGGACAAAAGAATTTCAGAGTTCAGAATGAAAATGCATCCCTCTTTAAGCATCCTATATACTTATAAGTAGCAACTTAAAACATAGCCAATTGTTTTCCAATTTCTTATACCAGCTTTCAAGAGACATTCAAATATAAGTCAAATAGACACAAAGCAGTATATTATATTAATATGTAATAGAAAACACAAATACACTTGTAACAAATTGTTTTGTCTACCAACAAATTTTCTTTACACATGCAAGCATAATAAAATACATTTATTTATTACAACTAATTATGCTGGCATGAAAATAGGGTTCAAATTTATGTCATACCAAGAGCTGTTTTGAGAGCAGTGTCAAGATAATTCACAGGACGCTCCTTGCTATAAAGAACCTCAACAGGATATAGCTTCCCAGGAATGTTCAATACAGGACAATCTCTGAAGAACTTAGACACCTTATCGCCATCAAGTGTGGCAGAAGTGATCAACACTTTGAGATTAGATGTACGAAGCTTAACCAAACGCTTCATGAGTCCCATCAATATATCTCTGAACACACAATTGCAAATTGTATGAATCAATATTACACAAATGTATGAAAATGTACACAGAAAAAATAGGAGGTGCATTACGTGTTCAAACTCCGTTCATGAGCTTCATCCAATATGATAACAGAATAATCATTTAGTTCCGGATCGGCTAGACTTTCTCGGAGAAGAACACCATCAGTTAAATACCTAATTGAATAGAACCGAATTGAACCGAATTGAATCAATGAACAAGGATAAGAAAGCAATTGAGAATGAAAGCAGTTGAGAACGAAATAGAGTAAAGAGTAAGTAACTACTTGATGCGTGTGTTGCGAGAAGTTCTATCTTCAAATCGAATGGCGTAACCTACTTCCTCTCCGAGCTGAACACCGAGCTCTTGAGCAACTCGTCTGTGGAACTTGAGTCAGAAAGATGTTGAGAAAACGTTAGGGTTTGTTGAAAAGTTGAAATTGAGGAGGAATACCTGGAGACGGAGACCGCGGCGACACGACGCGGCTGAGTGACGGCAATTTTGGAGTAACCGTGGCGGTGGAGCATTTGAGAGAGTTGAGTGCTCTTGCCGGAACCTGTCTCGCCGATGATGACGACGATGGAGTTGTTATCAACTGTTTCGATTATCTTTTCTTCGTATTGAACAATGGGAAGGGTCGCCATCCTCGCCGTTAGTCACAAATGGTTCCAATACTCGTTAGTCTTTGAAATCAGCGGGCAGTGAAACAAGTTTGAGAAGCGTATTGGATTAAAATTTCAAATGCTTTCAAATTGTGGAAATTTTTTTAGATTTTTTACAGTTAGACCTTTTTTTCTTTGACAGATTTTATAGTTGCGCCTTAAAATATCAAATTTCCATCCAAATTTTCAAAATATGCTATTATAATATCAAAATAGTTCTTGCTATATTAACTTTTTTTTTTAATTATATTTTCATATCCCAATTTTACTCTTCATCTCTCTTTCTCACAAATATACTCTGAAAATGAAGAAATTTGATTTAAAATGAAGATTGATACAGTGAACCAATTTTATTGATCTATTATGTTGATTTATTATTGATAAACTAAAAATTATTTGCTACTATAAGTTAAATAAATTTTTTGAATTTAAATAAAAGATTAATATAATATTTTAATTATTTTATAGTTTTTATATAAACATCTAAAAATATATATAACTATTTATTTATTAATACAAATAAATATTATATTTATAAACTATAAAATATTTATTTAATCACAAAATAATAAATCTTGTTATCTTGTTATGCTGCAAAAGACACTTTGAAAGTACCAAATCTGTTGATATGGTGTATACCTTATGAAAGACACTTTGAAAGTACCAAATCTGTTAATGTGTTGGATCTTGTTAACGAAGATGCCCTTGAATTAATGTGTTAGATCTTGTTAACGAAGATGCCCTTGAATTTTTTTTAGAACTTATGATAGGCCTCAAAGAGTAGGGAATATTTTTATGAAATAAAAAATTGTCTCTTACAAATAGTTTTAAAATTAAATTGTTTAATGTGTGAGACATAAATTTCAAGGGACCATTTTTTCAATATTTTGGCAATCTATTATTGTGGCTATTGATTATGTGTCTAAGTTGATAGAGGCACCTACAACACCAACAAATGATGTCAAAGTGATAATTATATTTTTAATCAAAGATATTTTCACTAGATTTGGCACACTTATGACAATTATCACTAATGAGGGAACTCATTTGTGTAATAAATTGTTTGAGTTTAATAGTTAAATATGGTGTCAAACACGTTACAACCTATCATCTACAAAGTATTGGAAAAGTTGAGTTATGTAATAGAGAAATTAATATAACTCTTGAAAAAGTGGTAAGTCCCTCTAGGAATGATTGGTCAAGGCACTTTGACAATGGCTTGTGGACTTTTATTCCATTTCTAAATTATTTGTAAGAGGCATTTTTTGTTTCATGAAAATATTCCATACTCTTTAAAGCCTATCACGAGTTCTAAAAAATTCAAGGGCGTCTTCATTAACAACATCTAACATCATATCAACAGTTTTGGTACTTTCAAAGTGTCTTCTATAAGGTGTAGCATGACAAGATAATAAGATTTATTATTTTGTGATTGTGAGATGTTGGATCGAACTCTAATATGATTGAAGGGTCATTTCTGGTTCAACAGGAATTAAGCATAAGGTCGAAGTATGTTTGCATGTTGCTGTCGGAGTAATGCATGTTGTAGTCGAAGTTTGTTCTAACATGCATTAGTCAATATTGCTAGGGTTGTTAGCATGTTGAATTGGGACTTACTTGTAAGCCCAATTGTTTAAGTTAGCTTGTACCCTAAGTTAGCTTGTAATGGATAATTGTTAAAAAGCTCATTAGGTTAGTGTGTTATTTTTTCTTATAAATAGGATGCTAGTTTCTCAATCTTGGCATAAAAAAAATAGGAAGATAAAATCCTAATTTCAATAGAGAAATGTTATTTTGTTATTCTTGTATACTTGTAATCTTGTTCTAAGAGTAAGGAAAGAATAGCAGTTTATAACCAATCCTTGTTGTTCCTTGTTGTTTTACCTTGTTATCTTTGTTAACCCTAACCCTTGTGTGTTTCTTGATCATAAAAAAACCGTTTATATTTTGTTTCAAGACATCGAATTCACAACAGTGATTAAATAAATATTTTATCATTTATAAATATAATATTTGTTTGTATCAATGTTTTTGTAAAAACTATAAAATAATTAAAATATTATATTAATCTTTTATTTAAATTCAAAAAAATTATTTAACTTATAATAGCAAATAATTTTTAGTTTATCATAATACATCAAAATAATAAATCAATAAAATTGGTTCACTATATATTAAAAGGACGCATATGTAGTGGTGTTTTCATATACTGCCTTTAAATCACCACTACGAATATGCCCTTTTAGATTAGTCTATGAAAAAGCTTATCACCTATCAATTGAGTTGTAACATAAAGCATTTTAGACACTCAATAAACTAAATTTTAACATTCACGGTTCTAGTCAAATAAGATTATTACAACTCAAAGGATTGAAAGAGCATAGGTTTTTTTTTTGTATGAAAATGATGAAATTTACAAGTTTTAATGATTGGTATGTTGGTCAAGAGTTGGAAGAACATAATTTTAATTTGGTATGTTGGTAAAGAAAATACCAGAGTGATGACTAGTGTCATAACAGAAATCACCGGTAAAAACACTAGTGTCAAATATGTCTACTCTTGTAGTAACTATTATTTTGTGATATCTGATATCTGATACTAGTGTCAAATACTCTAAAACCACCATCCATTTTCACAAAATAACAATGGTACAAATCAAAATCGTTCCTTTAAAAAAACAAAATCATGTGCAAGAAAAAATAACATCTACCAACGTTGAGTTTTCAAATTAAGACACGTCTGATTCTTAAATTTTCATATATAGTGATGCGCAAAAAAAAAAAGTTTTCCAAATTCTTTACAATTAAAACCATTCATTCTAAGAGGGTGTTCATCTATGATATGGAAGAAAGTGATTTGGGCATTACTAATGAGGTCGAACGCATGCACTTTGCATCTTATAACACGCAAAGGGTCAAGGATTTCTATGCTAACTTGATCAACCCTCTTCAGAGGATAAAATAAGTTATGACGAGAGGATAATTGGTCCAATACTTTTAGGTTACGCTGAATATGATGTAGGAATAAAGGATGTTGAAGATTCCTTCCGAAATTTGTTTGAAAAGTCTCATGGACAAAACATGAAGGTCATCCAAGATTCTTTTTGTTGGCCTAGGAAAAAATGGTTCAAAATAACCAAGTTTGTAGACTAGCTTATCATTCGCATGAGCTTAAAAACATGCACCAAAGGTGTGGTACCATTTATTGAAGCACTCCCTCGTGCCAACTACTTACAATGAAATAGTTGGCAAAGGAAGACTTATAATCCTCCACTGCATCACAACCTGTCAGTCTATAAACAAAGAAAATAAGAAATGTTATACCTCCATTGTTTGATAACAACAGTTTTCTAAATACATGGAGTCTCTAAAAATACGAATGATAAGAATCCCAATTCAATGGCTAGATTTGACAAAGCTACAGTATGAACCTTTTGAGAATAAAAGAGGACAAAAAAGTGCGTTGAGAAGCGCGACAGAAGACTTCAAAACCTTAATCATCAAGAACCTAAGAGGAAATTATATGAGATTTTCTACTGCAAATGTAGAGGGGTCAAATGGAATATTGGAGATTTGCAAGGGGACAACAATTTGGCACAAGCGATTATACTCCTTATACAAGGGAGGAGTTATCAATTTGCCTTCAACTTTCATAAATGATATAATGGAGGAGTTATTTGCTAATGTTGAATACGTTAACCACGAGGAAAGACATGAAAATACATTTTTTAAGAAGAATATAGAGAAGAAAAGGAGTAAAAAATGGAAGGATAAGAAAATGTGGGTTAAGTTTGTTAAGGGTGTTGTTGCTAAGGAAGTGACTTCTAGCGTACCTTCTGAGTTAACACTTTCACCGCAAAAAGAGAAAACCAAGAGTCATATGAAGGATTCAAAATCATCAACCAAAAAGAAGTCATATGAAAAATGTTACTCAAAATTTCTTGACATCAATGAACCAATTGCAAAGGAAGAAGAAGAGGATATGGTGTTAGAGGAAGTGATTGAACAAGCAGACAAGAAAATGCAGAAATTGAGGAAGAAGAAAATGATGAAGAAGATTGATGACACTCTGTCATTACATGTTTTTCACAAGTATTTGGAGTGATTTCGATGAAATTTCAAGTCAAAGTGAAGTAAAAGTGCCAAGGAATCGACAAGATTGACCAAATGAAGAGAATTGGAAGAAATAGTGAAAATTGGAGAAATTGGGCACAAAAAGACGAAAATTAAACTAGAAGAATAGTGGTAATGACGTGCTTGTCGTGGTCGTGATGGTATCAAATTATGGTCGCAATACATAGTGGCGCGGTCGTGATAGGTCACTTTTTTAGGTTTTTTCTGACGCATTATGATGCGTTGTTTTTGTTGTAAATAGACTTTTCTGGTACAAAATTAAGGGATCTGCATTTTTTACTCTAAAGTGATGGCAAAAATTCCCAAGAAGGCGGTTTTTAGAGTATTTGAAGCCATTGAAGACCAAACTCTTCAAGGATAATTATCTTCTCAACTCTTGGTATTTTATTGTATTACTATGAGTAGCTAAATTACTCTAAATTAAGTTTTACCTGATGAACTTGTTGGATTATATGTTTAGTTTGATGTTTTATGAATAACTGAAGTTATATTTTCTATTTAATTATCTTCGTTCTTAATGCTTATTATTTGTGGACGCGCTGATAATACGAGCTGAGACGAGTAGGGATTACTAACCATAATTCTATGAGTCTGAACGAGTAGTGGCTTTTGAATTAATGCACCATAATAACACCTAATTTGACTTCTGCCGTAAGTTATACACCAAGGAATTGTGTATAGTGGCTTTGTTAATTCGTGTAAAAATATAACATTTTACCATTCTTCTAATGCACTAGACATCAACAAGGGATAAATAAGGCATTCATGGTAAAACCTAGTCACTTTTCTCGTATTGAATTCAAAACAAATTTACTTTTCGTAAAATAACTCAAAAACCCCCCTAGCCTT